GTGTAGTATACTAGTAAAAAAAAAATGAACAGTAAATTACTAGCCTTATAATAAGGAAACCCGTAAAGAGAAAAGTAGAGAGAGGAAGGCTAGACGACATAATGGGGCCTGGGTAACCTCCTGCCTCTTCCTCACGAAAATCATTTAGCTCTCAACCTGTAGAGAAGTGAACTAATTTTTATGTGCCAAATCTTACTAGTGGTCCCAAAATTTTAAGGCCGGCCGCATAAGTTTTAAGCTATCCTTCATTCAAATCAATCTGGCGACGGACCTGGAGTGTGTGTGTGTCTGTGTGTGTGTGTGAGAGAGAGAGAGAGAGAGAGAGAGAGAGAGAGTATGTGTGTGTGTGAGTGGGTGAGTGAGTGAGTGAGAGAGAGTGTGTATGTGTGTGTAAGTGTGTGTGTGTGAGTGTGTATGTGTGTGTGTGAGTGAGTGAGTGAGAGAATGTAGGTGTGTGTGTGTATGTGAGTGAGTGAGTGAGAGAGAGAGAGAGAGAGAGAGTGTATGTGTGTGTAGGTGTGTATGTGTGTGTGTGAGTGAGTGAGTGAGTGAGAGAGAGAGTGTATGTGTGTGTAGGTGTGTGTGCGTGAGTGAGAGAGAGAGTGAGAGAGTGTGAGAGAGAGAGAGAGAGGCAATGTTTTTCTCATGACACCGCTATTACTGTGTATCCCCTTGTTCAGTTTTTATTGCTTTAAAAGGTCATTTTTAGAAATTTAATAAAAAAAAACCATCCATATGAAACTGAATTTACACATTTTTCTATTTTTTTCCTCGAGAATTGACAAAAAAAGAAAAAAGAAAGAAAGACTATTCTTGTAATTAATAATAAAATAGTGTTTAACATTTTTGCTGTCAGTTCTCGAATGAAAAAAAAGTATAAATCCAGATGCAAGCAACTTATTTTAATGAATTTAACTGGCGAGAGCAAATGAATGAAATGTCCGGAGAATACATTTTCTTCCCTAAATCTATAATTACATTTTCCTCATAGTTATGTGTTTACTTAAATTGTTTTATTTTCTTTTTCACATACACTTTTATAGATTGGGCGCCCTTAGGCGGTGTAATGGTTAGCGAGCTTGTCTCGCTAGAACAATTACGACGGAATAGTGAGTTCGTTCCTTACTGGGTGCCCCATACATTTGGCCTTGTGCCGCATCCAAGGTACGCTTGGAAAATCACTACTTTTTTTAAGATTTATGCATAAAAAATGTTTTTAATGCCATTCTTTTATAATATGGTAAATAATAAATATTGCCTACTAGTTGATTTACCTGTTGTTTTATAAACTTTTAAATAAAAAAATAATTAATATAAATAAAATATCTAATAAAATAAATTGTGCTAATAGTTTTGTTGTTAATTCTCGAGAAAAAAATGAAATTCAGTTTCATAAGTTTGGGTTTTATTAAAATTCTAAAAATAGCTTTTTAAAACAGTACGACGTTGTGCTGTAAAGCGTATGGCCTGACTACGAAGGGGGTGATGCTAAAGCTATGAAATCATGCATACATTAATTTCATCTCTTCTTACTAATAACCTTCCAGGTAAACTGGCGTTAGATTGTTCAAAGAAAACTTTAAAATTCTAGAAATAGCTTTTTCAAACAGGAGTATACAGTAATATCGTCCCTTTGATATCGGAATTTTTTTTTCGGTTACAATTGTTAAACTTTGTCGGTAAAAGAATCTTTCGATATGTTGTTAAAAAAAATAAAATATAAGAATATGCATTATTTCTTTCATATTTTTCGTGAATTTTCTTTCTATAAATAAATCAAACCGTATTTAGGTTAATACGGTAACAGATGGATATTTAGATAGAAGGAGAGAGATATAGAGGGAAGAGGAGAGTGTGAGAGATATAGAGGGAGGAGGAGGGGTGAGAGAGATAAAGAGGGAGGAGGAGGAGTGAGAAAGAAACAGAGGGAGGAGGAGCGGTGAGAGAGATACAGAGGAAGGAGGAGGAGTGAGAGAGATATAGAGGGAGGAAGAGGGGTGAGAATGAGTTAGAAAAGGAGAGTAAGGAATATAAAAAGAGAATATTTAAAAAAACAGAAAGTCAAAAAATGGTGATGTATCAGACTGTTCATTTTTCGCCACTTTGAATTATGAGTCAACCAACCAAGGGAGAAGCAAAGTTGAATGGTAAGAAAGTATATCTAGACCAATGATTCCCAACGTGGGTCGCATGTCCCACAGGTGGGGCATGGTGATATTTTGGTGGGACATAAGTAAGATGGGCACCCTTCGGCTTACGATACCAACAGAATAAGGGGGCAATTCGAGAATCAGTTGTTAACAGTGAATTATTTTGTAGTTAGCTCAAATTTCATTTTGCATTATTATTTCATGATTAAAATGTTCAAAGTATATTACAGAATAAACTTTCATTCAAATGAAATATTAAATAATATTTCTACTTTTCAGTTCTCTATTATATGTTTTCAAACTATATATATATATATATATATATATATATATATATATTTAACTGTCTTTTCGTTTTTTTAAATTTTTCTCTTTCATGGACGCCATGGTCTTTGGAGGTTTGTTTAAAGATCAAATTAATGGCCTTTTAAGCTTCCTTCACGTGAATTGCAGTAAGATTTTGAATATGGAAGAATTAAAAATGACAGTGGGGGTGTCGCCAGAATTTTAGAAATACCAAAGTGGGACATTGCCCAAAATCGGATGTGTACCGCTGTTCTGAATCAATATTTGTCCAATTTAAACTCATCTATTTCCACTCTTAGTAAAATATTTAACTAAATTTTCTGCCATTTTTAATGGTTAGTTTTTTGAGATATTTCGAATTTACGAAAATGAACTGACTGAAGTTAGTTATGCAGATTAAATTTTAGTAAATACCAGAGTGGGGCATGGCCCCCTAAATCGGTTGGGAACCATTGATCTGGACCTTTTTTTATCATCTCTTCTCTTCGACAGTGGATGCATCGTTGATAGTGCTTTTCAGAGTTTAATTTGGAAATGCCGTAAAGAGAGAATTTTGGATCCTCACGAACTTTCGCTTGAGAACCGAACACAATATTCCACCGTCTGTAGCAGTTTTTCAACCAGGAATTCCAAACTTACATTTTTAAAGCCGCATGTAGTATTGGGTTCCATAGTGGTAGAGCTCAGTTAAAAAGCGTGGATTTCGAAACCTGGTAGGCCTTTTCGATTTAGACGATTTGCGCAACACCGTCTTCCTAAATATAAATTCTCCCCATTTGGTCCTGTTTAGTCGATGTCGTACTTTGTAAATATTTGACAATTTTCCAACATTTTCAAGTCAAACAGTACAATAGAACAATAGGACAATATAAGAGCAGATTTCAACAAACAAACCTAAGAAAAAAAAAATAATAGACTCAACAGATTTTGCACCAACAGATTTTCATTTGTTTCGATTACGCCATTAAGAACGAGAGAGACAAAGAAAGAGAGAAAGTAAGAGGGAAAAGAAAAGAAGGAAAAAAGGTGATAAAATAAGACAGAGAGAAGGAAAGAAAGCGAGAAGGAAAAAGAGAGGGAAAGAAAGAAAGAGAATCGAAAGAGATAGAACAGTCATAAAAAAATGGAAACAGTCTTAAAAACATTTTCTTTTTCAATGTGGAACCAAAAAATTAGCCTTCTCGTTGGGTTGCATTTGATGAAGAAGAAGGCGATTAGATTTTGGGTAAATAATATTTAAAATGTTTAACTTATATTTGTTTTTATATCCTTTCTGGTAAAACTGTAGTTATTTATTAGAACACCCTGATAAAACAATGTATTTTCAAAAATCTAAAGAAACAATATGAATCTAGGGAAAAAAAAAAAACATAATAAGCAACGGAACAAGGAAAGGAAAAATCAATAAACAATTTTAAAATAATAATACAGAAAAGAAGAAGAAAAAAAAAACAGTTGAAATTAAGTAACGAAACAAGACAAAAAAATAATGGCGGAAAAAAGCTTGGATCAAAAGCTACAAACAAACAAACAAATAAATACCCTCCCCGCAACTCCACACCAACGACGTGAACAAAAACGAAAAATAAAAAAATAGAAACGTAAAATGTAACGTAAACCGAAACGAAGATTGTCAATCAAACAAGCATTACTCATGTTCTGATGAAGTTTGCAAAGCAATTTGCACGTGATGCGTTCTGCGTGTGTCCGTGGCTGGGTTTGGCGCGAACATCTGCTTCAGGGACCCGCGGCCGGCATAGTCAGTGTGTCGGGAGGTGTTCGAACATTACAACAACAAAGGCCGGCCACGGGACAGGGGTCAAGTGGACAAGTCTCAACACAGAGGCCATGAAGGGAGGGCACGGAAGTCGTGAGGAGAACGAAATGGAACAGAGACGTTAAATGATGAAAATAAAAATAATAATTAAAATAAATAAACAGAGTGAAATGAAAAATCATTGAAATAAAAGAATAAAATAATAGTTCAAATATTTTTTCGTTCGATCTGATTTGAGAGAGAGACAGTGAGAGAGACAGAGAGTGAGAGAGAGGGGAAGAAAGAAAGAAAGAAAAAGAAAGAAGACGCAATAGAGAGAGGAAAACAAAAAATACACGCAATAAAGGAAGCAGTAAAGATTAAACGAGAGAAGGCAGCAGAATAAAAGAAAGAAGGAAATAAAGAAGAACGAGAGAGAGGGAGATAAAGAAAGAGAGAAAGAAAGAAAGTAAGAGGGAGAAGAAAAGAGAGAAAAAGGAGAAGAACTGAGATAAGAAAAGACAGAAAGAAGAGAGAAGGAAAGAAAGCGTGAAGGAAAAAGAGAGGAAAAGAAAGAAAGAAAAAAAGAAAGAGTAGGAAAAGAGAGAACGGGAATCGGAGAGGAGGAAAGAAAGAAAAAGAAAGAAAGAGATAGAAATAAAAGGAGAGAAGGGGAGAAAGATTAATGAAATCTATTATCAGACGGACCTTTATCCGTATGCAGGGAAGCAAGCGTTCAACTTCACGCATGCGCATTCAGACATGGTAATTTCCAAGTTTCACATTGCACGGCACAAGGAGAAAATAAAAGTGAGACGTGTGTTTCAAGTGTATTGGACCTTCAAAACTGGGAAATCGGTTACCTTCAAGTTTCAAATAAACGGGTTGAGATGATTTCTCTTCTATTGACAAAAAAAAAAAAACACCTAGCACTTTCTTATTCCAACCACCAGTTTTATCAAATATCCAGGAAGTTCTTCCAACCCCTAAATTCAGGTTTCGAGCTTTCTAGAGTACAGCGTTTCATTTGCTTCTAAGTAAAATGGTTCCTTTTTTAATCACATTTTTCGTTATTTACATATCCCGTCAAGGGTATTCTCAACATCCTTCTGTAGAACCATATCTCCGTTTGAATTCTCCTTTTCAGTTGTGAGAAAATTACTGAGCTTTCGAGACGTGATATTATATGGAGGTTCATCACTAACTTTGATTTTAACGAAATCTTTCTTAATATTTAATATGTTTAGGTTTTTGAAGATATCTTTCATTATTCCAATGCGTCTGATAATTAAATTTCTGTGCTTACTCGATTCTGAAGTTTTTAGTTCGCAGCTCGCATATGTTTACACAATCGTCATAAGTGTTGTCTACAGGCAACGAAGTAATCAGTATTCTATGTTATGACTTGTCAGAACATAGGATAACTGCTACGACACAGCCTTACAATGAGGAACTGACATGTTTGAATGAACCATTAAAAATATATATATATTTATTCTCCTGGAAAATGAAATTTGGTAACATTTACCTCTTGTAAATACAAGATAAATGTTTACACACTATGTATACTGTAGCTCAGTTACAATAATTTCTTTCCCTCCCTGTGACACTTCGTGCCTGCTCAGTGGTCCCGACAAGTTAAATAACTCGAAAATTACGTCTGAGCATTAATAGGATCAAAACGGGAATGATTTGGTGAAAGCGACTTTTAAACTTTATATCAAGTTCCACCAATTAACAGAATTTATATTATAACTTCCCGATGTTGATTTGGAGGCCAGTTTTCTCCGCTTCCGGAAGCCGTCTCCTACGACCAACTGTGGGACAGGACCAGACAAGCCCCAATCGAGACTGACATCAAGAAACGGAAATGGAGATAGATCGGCCACCCACTCCACAAGCCTGCTTCTAGTGCCACCACCCAGGTCTTTGACTGGAATCCACAAGGTAAGCGAAAAGCAGGTCAACCAAAACAGGCTTGGCATAGAAGCGTTGACGAAGAGGTGAAGGCAGCCGGCACAACGTAGGCCGAGCTGAAGAGGATCACTCGGAACCGCCTCCGTTGGAGATGTGTTCTTGCGGCACTATGTCCCCCAAGGAATCAAGAGGTTTAAAGAAGGAGAATATTATAACTATTTGCAAAGATATAAATAAATAAGGGGAGACTACTCTGAAATTAGTAAAACTCCAACTACATTTAATAATCCTTTTCTTACATTTACGATTTCTAAAGTTGGTGTGATTTTCTGTTCTTCTTTTGTAGCAAAGACACGTGAAAATCTCCCCATTATTATCAGTTACTAGCAGTAAAGCCCGGCGTTGCCCGAGGATGTAACAGTAAAAGATAGATCAAGTATCGACCATCATAAAGACTCAAACCCAAGCTTAAACAAAAACATTGTTTTCAATCGTTGAGTCTACCGATTGAATAGAATTTTATTATAAACAATTGTCTTGTAAATGGAATTTTTAAAGCATTCTGAATGTAAAAATAAAGAAAAAAGTGTGCAAGACAATAAGAAACACTACCTGCCAAAAAAAAGTGAAGTTTTGTTGAAATCGGTTTAAAAATGTAGGAAATCCGATCCGATATATACACACACACACACACACACACACACACACACACACACACACACACACACACACACAACCTGGGTTTTATAAGAAGTATAACTCGATATGAGTTGTCCCCCTTTCATTAATGCCTCTTAATCGTGTTTTCAAATTGATTTCGTGCAAAAACAATTGTGTTTTTTCAATTTTTGGCGCTGTCAGAACCACCGCAAAGGTAATTTTACGTAGTCCTGTGAAGTTTTGTTGAAATCGTTTGAAAAATGTAGGGAATCCGATCCAATATACACACACACACACACACACACACACACACACACACACACACACACACACACACACACACACACACAATCTGCGTTTTTATAATAAGTAAGATTACATTAGAAATTGTTTTATACTTCAAGTTAGACATTTTAAAGGTATTTTCCTAACTAAGGTCATGCTACGATATACTGCTTTTGCTGTGGTACAGCAACTAATAAACGCACACTTAAAAATCGGATCATTAAAAAAAATAGAGAACAGTATACTGGATGGTTTTGCCATCACCCATTTGTATAAATGAACTTAGACGAATGGAGCATGCGTGACGTAGTAGGTACAGAGGTAGTGTAGGTATGGCAGTGTATCTGTGGCTGTCATAATGGTTTGGGGCTCAGAAAAATGTAGCAAATGTTTTTAAAGTAAGAATATGTGAATTCCGGACAAATATAAAACCTGTTGCGCATTCCAACAGGGTTTATAAACATTAATTCCAGATTTTTCCACTTTCCCTCGTGTTACAGCTTTCTGGTGTTCTTGAAGTCTTACCTTAAGGGGGCGTCCTGGCTCCTATTTATATTTCTTTCCACAGCTGCACGGGATAACGTACACAGTCTTTAGTCATGTTCTCCTCAATGGTGGGGGGTCTTACTCGGGGGAGATATCTGCGAAGTGTCGTCAAGCTTTTGAAGGTTGTCCTGATGTTATATGGACCGCAGATCCATTGTATTTTCTCTGATAACCCCTTCACATAAGGCAGGCAGACTGTTTTCTGAGTGTTGTCCTCCTCTTGTATCCGCCTATCCCAGTTTTTTGGGAGCTGATGCCATGTACCCAGGGTAGTTGTTACATTGTAGGGTACTATTTATACTGACCAATTCTTTATCTAATCAGGCGTGGCTGACCATATATGGAGAGAGAAGGGAAATCACCGCCCTCTGTGGGATCAGGTTGAGATCATATACAAGGAACACCACTGAAAAATTCGTAAACTTAAGGAATCAGCACATATGCTAGGCCACAAAAATCTCCTGAGCCGACCAAGCATAGAAATGAATACAATATGGGAACCAGTAATAAGAAGTGTCAGAGAAAAGCGATAATAACAACAAAAATTGCAATATAAGCTCTGATAAAAACATGCAATGATAACAGCAAAAATTGCAATATGAGCACTGGTAAAAAAATGGTTGCTGAAGACATTAGGTTTATAATACCCAGAATTTCATGCACAGATGTTCTCAAGGACACATGGCACAGGTGTTGGTTAGATCCAGTGACAGGACCTAAAGAGTGTGAGTTCAATACCCGGTTAAGGCAATGGAGAACTTGGAGAGAGAAATTAACATGAGATAACTGATAACTGACATCCATTAAACATGGCACATGGAACTAGAACAGTCTACCCCAGTGAACGAAAAATTCCAACCACCTGAAGAAGGCCGGAGCGTACAACGGCCGAAACGTTGTAATAAATATGGCGACAAAGATGAGGACAATAGTTCGAATAATGTAAATAATGTACACAATACCTCATCTCAGACATATAGACTGGTTCAAATATGTATGTATACGTATACACCTTTTTTTTTTTTACCAAACTATCGTTATGAATCTATTTCAAAAATTTTGTTGGCATTAACTGACCCACTGAGGGTGCCATAAAACAAAACAATCAATCACACAATCCATCGCACCACACACACACACACACACACACACACACACACATATATATATATATATATATATATAGAGAGAGAGAGAGAGAGAGAGAGAGAGAGAGAGAGAGAGAGAAAGAGAGCATGAAGAAAAAAGAATATCCCCTATAGATTTCTTAAAAATTAATTTATCAATTGAAACAGAAAAGCTTAAATACAATAACCTCTGTACACGCGTAAATAAAAAAAAAATGACATTCTACAAAAAAGTAAAAACAAAAGACACACAATAAAAAAAAACCCCAAAAAACTAACAAACAGACAAAAACAAAAGAAGGTAAAAATAAACCTCAACTTCAAAAAAAATGAAAAAAAAAATCTCATTTTGTTCTCTGGTTACTGGTTTGCTTGTTTTTAATTATAAAAGAAAACTGGTGTTGCCTAACACGGACTTACTTTTTTTCCTCATCAGACAAAGCATCCCGCGTATACAGATACCAAATGGTGAAGCCCGGGAAAAAAAACTGCTAGAATTTCGAGGTTTCATTCTGAGGGTTGTAAAAGGAAGATTTCTCCCAATAATCACTGGTCAGGAAATTATTTATCAGATTACGCGGAGGACAGTATCGGCGGTCGACATATCCTAAAAGAAGCTGAAAGGCCTCCTAGATAAGGTAGTCAAGGAAAGCAAGAAGAAAGGGCTAATTATTAACGGCAAGAAGGCAGAATAGCCAGCCCACAGTAAAATAGACATGGCTATTCATGAGTGACTTGTATTAGTTGGGTGTGAAAATTTACTAATTGTCTGTAATATGTCATATATATATATATATGCGCAATGGTGTTCACATCAGGTGATCGCAGACTGCTAATTGAGTAGCAGGGAATCAGTCGAAAGTTCTTGAAATCTGTTTAGTGAAACCCACTTACCTTGAGAAGCACGAGTAGTTAATCAATATATATATATATATATATATATATATATATATATATATTGTCAACTTAACAATCAATAAGATACAAGTTTAGAAAAATAATAAAGATTTATATCAAACCTTAACCTCCCAAATATGCTCTTTAAAGTAATGCGAATTAACAGCGTCTAAGATTTTGAATAAAACCTGCCCTCGTGGAATGTAATTTATTAGGGTTGTTGTAGCTTCTTCCTTTAATGTCGGTGTTCTCCCTCACCCCTTACCCATCTATATCTAGAGACAATACGCGTTAGCCGACACACAGTCGGGTTAAGAATAAGGAATTGAAATGGTACATCTAACCCACTCATATCTTATCTTCTCTCCCACCATACTTCCTCACTTCGTTAATTTTACATATGCTCGATGTGGTCCGTCAAAAACGTGTGAATTTCTTTTCATTTTTCATTTCAACTTTTGGAAGTAAAGTCTGATGATCCAGAGCCCTGTTAAAGGGGTTATGGTGAAATAACTTATTACATGGAACCTTAAAGTGGTCTGTTTTTATTCAAACATATCGGCTCTGAATTTTACATTGAGCTCTCCGGATATCCTCCTCCTTGGGTCTACCCATGCGGATTACCTAATTTTGCATAAACTATATATATATATATATATATATATATATATATATATATATATATATATATATTGTAATTTTATCATATAGACAAAACCATTTTACTTACTACAAAGATGCAACTTGGTTTCAGTGCATTTCAGCTGCACTTTTTCGAGTGAGAATCGAAAATGGTTATGAAAAATCCTGCTTGTAGGCAAGCCGTATGTGAAACGTCACTTCCTTTTTTTCCATTTGTTTGAGAAGAAAAATATACATAAAAAAATAGGTGACGGGATGAAACAATAGTGCTTGTTGATAGCAGTTTGGTGAAGAATGGATTGGATGTTTAATGTTGACTGGTCTGTGGAAATTTTCCTGCTGATAAACACCGGTCAAAAGTTTAGGTACATCATCTCCCAAGCGTCCTAAGAGTGAGAGGTAGGGAAGGAATGATGGAGATAGGGGATAGTATTACGTTTGAGTAGGTAATAATTGTAGCGATAGTTCTTGTAGTAATTGGGAATGTTATTTTTGGTTTACTATAAAAATTCTAGAGCAGAATTGCATGTATTTATGTTGGGGTTATCACTACTAATTCGGTAAGCAGTGAACATTTTATAATCAAATTTTGAAATATTCCTGGACCGTATAGCGTGTAGAATAAGATTTGATTTGATTATAAAAAATTTGATTATAAAATGTTCATTGAAATTTCCACAGACCAGTCAACATTAAACACCCAATCCATTCTTGACCAAACTTTTATCAACAAGCACTATTGCTCCGTCACCTATTTTTTAAGGTATATTTTTCTTCTCAAATAAATGGAAAAAAGGAAGTGACGTTTCACATATGGCTTGTCTACAAGCAGGATTGTTTATAACCATTTTCGATTCTCAATCGTCGAAGTGCAGTTGAAATGCACTGAAACCAATTTGCATCTTTGTAGTGAGTAAAATGGTTTTGTCTATATGATAAAATTAAAATAAATAAATAATTATTGCTCTACTATCGATATCGATCCCTCTTTGGATTAATGCTGTGAACGTTGAAATTTATATATTACTTTCGTTCTCATCGCATCGGATATATATATATATATATATATATATATATATATATATATTTGGTTGATAGATATATTAGCTCTATCTCTGATATTGAGCGCTTTCTAATAAGTACCGCGCATATAATATATAAATAATTATATATATATATATATATATATATATTTATTTATATACACACTTTTCACACACACACACACACACACACACACACACACACACACACACACACACATATATATATGTGTGTGTATTATTTTTGCTAAAAGAAACCATTATGGGTAGTTTTGAGCAGTAGCTCAACAGGCTGCAAAACCAAAATATTAACTTGAATAATGTTCTAAAATAGACCCAAACTCAAATGGATGTAACAGGATTTGAGATTGCGCGGCTGCCGGTGTTGGCTACGCCGTTGACCAAATTATATATCTAAATTAGCTTCAAAATTTCTTTTTGTTTTCTATCCAAAGGTCGCCAATAAATATGGTATTTAATGCCAAAATCAGAATATTTTGTACGTAATGTTTTCAACTATAGATATGTTTTACATAATTTTATACTTTCAAAGTAAAGGTATGTTTTTTTTTTTTTTTTTTTAGATATATAGCTTGTAAACCATAAGAGCCTCTACCTTGGATGCCTCCGGTAAATAGGCTAATTTTATATCTCGTGTATGATGCGACCCCCTTAAAATAAACTTCAAAATTAGATCTTCAAAAGCCGCATGATATGCTAGTATATCCGGTAACCGATGTTGATATGTCTCTAAACAAAAAAATGTTTTGTTGCTAATTTTACTATAAAAACGTTTTTTTATATTTTTTTAGTGTTGCATTGATTTTTTGTTATAAAAATCTATTGTTGCTCATTTTATTAAAAAAAAAATTGATGCTGATTTTTGTTTGGGAGTTCCCTATATGTCCATAACTGGGTCCCTAACAGGTTCTACCACGTCGGGTCAGAGCGGACCTGGCAACAAGGGTAGTGAAAAGGCGGTTTCACGCTCCTCAAAACCTTCAATCCCCATATCAGAGTCATTGCAAAATAACTTACAGGAAAGGTTCTTGAAAGTGCAGTTATAGATTCTTGCCTTGCGTCCTGGATATTTTTTTTTATTTTCAAATATCTCCTTTCTTAAAAGAAATGATCCCTTCTCAAACCAGCATACATGACCATAACTTTTTATTCAAATTAAAGGGCAACGGTTAACTGAAAACCTTTAAATATATAAATAAATAAATTTATACATAAGTAATTAAACAAAACATAATTAAAAACATAGAACTAATAATTACACTGAACATAAAAGTTCAACAACACCAACAACAACAGTTACTCACATTCGTTTGTTAGGCAATAGATAAATTATATCACTTAGCGTCCTCCGTAGTTAAGCTTTCTTTAGTCAGCAAGTTTTAAGAATATTTTAGAGCGTTTTCAAATTCATATTTTGAAATTTAAAGATATTTTTCCTCCATGTTACTTCTGTGTATAAATAAAAGTTACGAGATAAAATCTCCACATTTACCTTGATAAATGTTTATCAAGGATCGAAACGCGTTGGTACAGAAAAGTTTTCCTTTTGTCTTTACACACACACAAACACATATATATATATATGTATGTCGGTAGGTATAAAGAGAGAGAAAGGAGCAGAAAGAAAGAGAGAGACAGAGAAGAGGCATGGAGGGAGAGAGAGAGAAAGAAACGAAGCACAAAAAAGAAAGAAAGAAAAAGAAAGAAAGAAGGTAAAGAACGTGCGAGATTGCGTGAAAGATATAAGACATAGAGGGGGAAACAAAGAGGTAGGAGTGAGAGAGAGGGAAAGACAGAAATGAAGCATAAAGAGAAAAAGTGAGAGAAATGAGGTATAGAAGGAGGGAAATGAAGCAGAGAGAGAGAGAGAGAGAGTTAAGGCATATAGGGAGAACAGACATGGCATGTTGGTAGATAGATAGATAGATAGAGAGAGAGAGAGAGAGGGGAGGGAGAAAGAGAGAGAGAGAGTTAAGGCATATATGGAGAACAGACATGGCAGGTAGAGATAGGTAGATAGATAGAGAGAGAGAGAGAGAGAGAGAGAGGGAGAGAGAGAGAGGGGGAGGGAGAAAGAGAGAGGGAGAGAGAGGGAGAGAGAGAGAGAGAGAAAAGAAGAGAAAGCAAGCCGCAAAAGACCGGCTTAAAATATTGACTGCTTAATTATTTACGGCCTGTCGTCTTTTGGCGGGGGGATAATTAACTTTGAATTTTGTTTGATGAAACTAATTAGGATCGAACTCACTTCTTAGCAGCAATGGTCAACCAGACAAGAATTGCCTGCGACGTATCAATTTTGGATTATCTAATGCTTATAGGGCACCCAGTGTGGATCAAACTCAAAACTCACAAGTCATGGTCAACCAGACTTGACTCGTTTATACTTACTCGACGATGACACATTCATCCAAGGAAAATTACAACACGGAGAATAAAAGAAAGAAAAACAACAATACAAAACCAAAAGAAAAAAACAAATAAAACTTAATTTAAACGACGCGATGCAGGGCGTCCATATTGGACATCGTTATAATCTTGCCTTCAAAATCCTTCCGCTGGTTACATCCCATAAAATTTCAGTGACGCCCTCTATCGTTTGTAATTCAAGTTCATATTCCGAATATTTTGTTCTGAAAGTTTTCTTTCTTTTTTTTTCTTTCTATTTTTCTTTTCTTTTCTTTATTTGTTGGTACTTCGCCATTTTATTTCCTCTTCTTTTTTAAAACTTTGTTTTTGTTATCTACCTTAATCCCTTGTCCTTTTTTTTGTTTTTGTTTTACCGACATTTTTTCGTTGTCTTTTTCTTCTTAGAAACAAGACGAGCCCCCCTCCCTTTCTCTTTCTATCTCTCTCTCTCTTAAAATTACTTATCCTTTACTTTTTTCGTTCGGCTCATCTCTGTATCCCTCCTCGCTTGGGCGATATCTAGTTAGTCTTCTTCTTCTTCTTCACATTTTCTTTTCCTACCCTTCTCTTTTTCTGCATATCTTTCTCTTCCTCCTTTTATTCTTTTTCTTCATAATCTCCTCCTCCTCTTCTTCTTCACATTTTCTTTTCCTACCCTCCTCTTCTTCCTTTTCTTCTTCTTCATAACTTCCTTCTCCTCCTCCTCCTCCTCCTCCTCTTCTTCTTCTTCTTCACATTTTCTTTTCTTACCCTTCTCTTCTTCTGCAATCCTTCTCTTCCTCCTTTTCTTCTTTTTCATAATCTCCTCCTCCTCCTCTTCTTCTGCACATTTTCTTCTTTTCTTCTTCTTCATAACCTCCTTCTCCTCCCCTCATCCCCCTCTTCTTCTTCTTCTTCTTCTTATATACTGACTCATCGTCTACCTTTATTCTCTTCCCGGGCAACGTCTAATCATTTCTGTATTTTCCGTCACAGCGTCTAACAGCAACATTTCCATCTTACTATTTAGTTCTACTGAAAAAAGAAAAAAAACGAACCCCCCCACACACACCAAAAAAAAACCCCAAACAAAACAAAAAAACAACAAAACAAACATAAAAATATGTAGAAATCTAAATCATTTTATTCTTACCCTCCCTCCAACTTTTCATCCATTAATATTGCTCGCCTGCATCACACATCCTTACGCATTCTGTCTCTAACTTATCTAACGGGATTTCTTCTTTTGTTCAGTGTCTTCTTTCTTGCATTATCGCTTCTTTTTATTTTCTTCTTAAATGTTTCCCTCTTGTTGTTGCTCCATCTAAGCTCAAATATAAAAGCCACTTTCTATCCAAGCTGAAATCTTTTCCTTGGCGGTCTGCGTGATAATTCAGCGCCCACTTGATGTTTTCACGTAAATAATCCGCGCGTGTCAATTTGTGCCGCCATTTTGTTGTCAGCGAATTGCCGGGTTTCCTGTCGTCTCTTTCTATTCTCTTTCCCGCCATTCTCCATTCCACGACTCATATCGAACGGCCGATCGGCCGTGTGTTGAACGATTTATTAGCACCAAGAATGTTATCATTGTTATTATTGTTATCATATCATCATTTGGTTTTGATTTACATCTTTTGGGAAGTTCGAAGGAATTAAAGAATTTCCGCCCCGGCTATTCTGTTGATCCACCTCGGAGCGCCCCCTGGCTTCTCGCCGTAGCTCATATTTCTGTCAGCAGACGACCTAATGGTCACACTTATAGCAGCTATAACTCTGTAATGATCTTTGAGGCTCATCTCGATTCTTTTTCCGCTAATTCTGCATTCTCGGCCTTACAACACGACTCCCCTCACCCCCGATATTAGACGCCATCTTGATTTAATTATTTTGTGGGCTTTATTCGAAGAAAATTATGATATTTTCATATTCTATATATTATTCAGTCAGAAACTTGAAAGCTTATAATAATGATTTTCAATGTGTCCATGGAGATAGCTTTTAATAATTTTGCATATAAACTGAATCAATGTAAATCTATCTATCTATCTATCTATCTATCTATCTATCTATCTATCTATCTATCTATTGCAGTCTGTTCATATCTATCTATCTATCTATCTATTCATCTATCTATCTATCTATCTATCTATCTATCTATCTCAGTCTGTTCATATTCATCTATCTATCTATCTATCTATCTATCTATCTATCTATCTATCTATCTCAGTCTGTTCATATCTATCTATCTATCTATCTATCTATCTATCTATCTATCTATCTATGTATCTATCTATCTATCTCAGTCTGTTCATATCTATCTATCTATCTATCTATCTATCTATCTATCTATCTATCTATCTATCTATCTATCTCAGTCTGTTCATATCTATCTATCTATCTATCTATCTATCTATCTATCTATCTATCTATCTATCTATCTATCTATGTATCAGTAAAATTGGCAATGTCTAATTTCGTTTAAAACGACTACAGTTGTTAAAAGAAAATGCCCGTCATTTATTTCCAATAAAGTGCATATCCCTATTTTTAACAAGTCCAGTACAGCCAGACAACAATGCTATATTTATGCAGCAGCAAACGTAAACTTTATGCTAATTCTCTGTGTGTCTATTTTTGTAAATATTGTCATAGTATAAGAATATTTCAGTGTTTGTTTATATTGTCTTAAAAAAAAATGATAGAATTATTTTTAATGAGATATTTCTATTACTTCAAGAATTATTACAGTGGATAATCTTATGTAAAATAGATGCCCAACTTTTTAATTTTTTTTTTTTTTTTACAGATTTGTTGAATGTGGAGAAGATAGATGTAATAGACGCCGTTTAAAACAGAAAATCGAAAAGAAAATATAAGGACGTCTATTTGAGTTACTAGTATCTACTATAATAATGTTTGAAATAATAGAAATGTAAAATTAAAAATAAATCCATTAATTCTTTAGAAATTGCTTTGTTTACCTCTCGAACACGAAACTGCAGATATGGGCGCTTCAGAAAAATAATATGAGTGAATAAGATGTTTTTTTTCTTAATAAGCGAAAATAGAACCTTTTAATGTGACGCTCTTCATAAACAAGCAGTAAAATACACCGGATCAAATGGCGGTTTTTCCTACAAAGGGGAACTCAAGTTCGGCCCCTGTCGGAAAATATACACGCAATACTGGTAAGAAAATGAGGAGTTCATTTCAAATAGGTGAATCCGCTGTAATAATATTTGAAGTCATATTATTATTTTCAGGTCTAAAAATCTATTTCAAAATCTATTTCAAAATCTATTTCAAAATCAATTTCAGATATATTATTGGCAAAGTATGAATGAATTTGGAAAAAATTCCTGGAATGCCCCAAAGTAAGTAGATTTCTAATTTAGTTTTTCTATTTCTTTTTAATTCAATACTTATAAATACTGGCTCAGTTGACTGATCTCTAAATATTGGGCAATTGTCCAGTAATAATAAGTTGTTGATTAGTTAGTCTTCATTGTGTTAAATACTGACACCGGAGACTGATTTATAGATATTTGAGAATTGTCTAGTACTAATGTTAATAATGTTTGGATTATTTCCTCTTTCATTCCTTTAATTATTGACTAAGATTGATCTCTAGATATTGGACAATTGTCTAGTAATAATATTTAATAAATCATTGACAAGATCGCATTTACTTATTTTAAAAATTGATTCAGGTGTTCTATATCTAGATATCTGGCAATTGTCTAGGAATAATATTAATACGTTTTTGATTAGTTCCTGTATCATTCTGTTAAATACTGAATCAGATCCCTGATCTATACACATTGGGCAATGGTCTAGTAATAATGTTAATAAGTTTATGAATATTTTCTCTTTCTCTTTTCTCCCTGATCAATAGCTAGTGGAAAATTGTCCAGTAGTAATATCAATAAGCATTTGACTCGTTTCTTTTGATCTTATCACTTTTTAATGCTTTTTGATGTAATACTTAAATTGTTTTGACTAGTAATAATGTTAATAAGCTTTTGACTCGATTCTTTCGATGTGATCCCTTTTTAATGATTGTTGATGTAATACTTAAATTGTTTTGACTATTAATAATGTCAATAAGCTTTTGACTCGTTTCTTTAGACATTATCCATTTTTAATGCTTTTTGATGTAATACTTAAGTTGTTTTGACAAGTAATAATGTCAATAAGATTTTGATTCGTTTCTTTTGATCTTATCCATTTTTAATGATTTTAAATGTAATACGTAAGTTGTTTCGACTAGTAATAATGTCAATAAGTTTTGATTCGTTTCTATTGATCTGATAAACTTTTCATGCTTTTTGATGCAATAATTAAGTTGTTTTGACTAGTAATAATGTCAATAAGCTTTTGATCTGTTTCATTTGATCTTATCGCTTTTTAAATGCTTTTTGATGTAATAATTAAGTTGTTTTGACTAGTAATAATGTCAATAAGCTTTTGACTCGGTTCTTTGTATCTTATCACTTTTTAATGCTGTTTGATGTAATACGTAAGTTGTTTTGACTAGTAATAATGTTAATAAGCTTTTGACACGTTTCTTTTCATCTTATCCATTTTTAATGCTTTTTGATGTAATATTTAACTTGTTTTGACTAGTAATAATGTTAGTAAGCTTTTGACTCGTTTCATTTCATCGAATCCCTTTTTAATGCCTTTTGATGTAATACTTAAGTTGTTATGACTAGTAATAATGTCAATAAGCTTTCGACTCGTTTCATTTCATCATATCACTTTTTAATGCTTTTCAATACTTAAGTTGTTTTGATTATTAATAATGTCAATAAGCTTTTGAAACGTTTCTTTAGATCTTATCCATTTTTAATGCTTTTTGATGTAATACTTAAGTTGTTTTGACCTGTAATAATGTTAATAAGCTTTTGACTAGTTTCTTTTGATCTTATCGCTTTTTAATGCTTTTTGATATAATACTTAAGTTGTTTTGACCTGTAATAATGTTAATAAGGTTTTGATTCGTTTCCTTTGATCTTATCACCTTTTAATGCTTTTTGATGTAATACTTAAGATGTTTTGACTAGTAACATTGTCAATAAGCTTTGGACTCGTTTCTTTTAATCTTATCTCTTTTTAATGCTTTTTGATGTAATACTTAAGTTGTTCTGACCATTAATAATGTTAATAAGCTTTTGCCTCGTTTCTTTTGAACTTATCCATTTTTAATGCTTTTGGATGTAATACTAAAGTTTTTTGACTAGCAATACTGTTAGTAACCTTTTGACACGTTTCTTTTCCTCTTATCCCTTTTTAAAATTTTTGATGTAATACTTAAGTTGTTTTGACTAGTAATAATGGCAATAATCTTTTGTCTCGTTTCTTTTGATCTTATCACTTTTTAATGCTTTTTGATGTAATACGTAAGTTGTTTTGACAAGTAAAAATGTCAATAAGCATTTGACTTGTTTCTTTTTATCTTATCGCTTTCAATGCTTTGCGATGTAATACATAATTTGATTTGACTAGTAATAATGTTAGTAATCTTTTGACACGTTTCTTTTGATCTCCTTCCTTTTTAATGCTTTTTGATGTAATACTTAAGTTGTTTTGACTAGTAATAATTTTAATAAGCTTTTGACGCGTTTCTTTTGAACTTATCCTTTTTTAATGATTTTTGATGTAATACTTAATTTGTTTTGAATAGTAATAATGTCACTAAGCTTTTGACTCGTGTCTTTTAATCTGATCCCTTTTCAATGGTTTTTGATGTAATACGTAAATTGATTTGACAAGCAATAATGTCAGTAAGCTTTTGACTTGTTTCTTTTGATCTTCGCTTTTAAAGCTTTTCGATGTAATACATAAGTTGATTTGACTAGTAATAATTTTAGTAATCTGTTGACTAGCTTCCCTTGATCTTATCCCCTTTTAATGCTTTTTGATGTAATACTTAAGTTGTTTTGACCTGTAATAATGTTAATAAGCTTTTGACTAGTTTCTCTTGATCTGATCCCTTTTTAATTCTTTTTGATGTAATACTTAATTTGTTTTGATTAACAATCATGTTAATAAACTTTTGATTCCTTTCTTTTTTTGATCTCATCCCTTTTTAATGATTATTGATGTAATACTTAAATTGTTTTGAGTAGTAATAATGTGAATAAGCTTTTGATTCGTTTCTTTTGATCTGATCCCTTTTTTATGATTTTTGATGTAATACTTAAGTTGTTTTGACTACTAATAATATTAGTAATCTTTTGACTCGTTTCTTTTGATCTTATCT